AAGGGAGGACAAGGGAAGGGGAAAAAAATAAGAACCAAGATACTCATGTAAAGGTACAAGATCCCAATGATGAATGTAACTGTATTTTATACCAAAAATGTACCAATAAACTTAATGGGGAAAAAAACCCAACTATTTTCATGATGATAATAAGACACCATTTGCCTTTTTCATTGTGTTGACAATTGCGTGGATGGCGCAGAAGCATTGTGGATAAAACTGCTGGGACCTCCAAAAGTTGTTGTATTCTTTACTACTTACTACACACAATAAAAGAAATGTCAGTTTCACTTAAGAATGTCTTTGAAGCAGTCAATATAATCTTATTCTTTATTCTGTAGTATACATTTAAAAAAATACTCTGTGTGATAGAAAGGGAAGTATGCATAAAGCACTTCCATTAGTATTAATATGATGGTTGTCTTGATTGTGGAAAAGCACTTAACCAACTGAGTTGTGAGTGAATTAGCTGGTATTTTCCTCCCACAGAATGGCATTTTTGTTTCAAAGACGACTGACAAATTAAGATTATACAGTGTTGGGTGTTCAGAAGCTATTTTCCATGTTTTTGAAAATGAACAAAGTGAGCCTGGTGCTTCATAGTAAATAACTTGCAGCACTTATTGTTAATAACTGGCTCAAACTTCCAAATGAAAAAGAAGAATTTTGTCATCATGAACCTAGTAATGCACCAATACTCAAAAACCTTACTGAGATAGGTGGTGATATTAACAAATGTGACTGCTTTACACTGATGACGATGTGTGTCTACATTTGGAAGTACTTAACTCAGTTAACAAGTATTTTCCAAATAACCAATGAATAATGCCACAAAATCATGCATGAGTAAAAGTTCCACGAAAAAAGTTAAACAGACCAACAGATTTTAATGTAACACAGAAAGAAAGCTTATTAACAAAATTTCAGATTCTACATTGCAAATAACCTGTAGGAAATTACCACCTGTCAAGCTTTACTGTAGTGTCAAAAATTATCTACAATTAAAATGTCTCCCTCTTCCACCTACATCTGTGTGAAGTCAGGTTTTCTTTGTACACTCAATCAACACAACTACTGTAACTGATTGCAGAACCAGAAATGAGAACTCAGCTGTGACCTATTAAATTAGGCATTAGAGACTTGCAAAAATGTCAAAAATGCTATTCTTCTCACTTGTTTTGAAAAGTTATTTTCCAAAAAAGATATTTATATTGGCACTGCATGTAATGAGTTCATTTTTAAAATGAATTATACAGTAAATAATTTTAAAGTTCTAAGTTTTAGTTCCCATTATAGTAAATACTGATATAACACATAAAGAAAAACTCTTTTGAGTCATTTTTTTAAGATTATAAAGGCGCCCTGAGATAAAAAAGTTTGATCTAACTAGAAGTGCTAGTTTAGAATACTGAGATGATAGTTGAAAAGAGTTAGGAAAATTAAAAGTAATATTGTACACTGATGGACTTATGATAATTCTTACTTCACAATTGTCACCAAAGTCAGAAAATTCTGCAACAGGACACAAAAGAGCTTAAGTGATAGATGGTATAAAATAACAGAACTCAAAGTGTAAGCCAAGGACCTCTTAAGACAATGACAGACAACAGAGATATTTCTATCTCATTTGCAGCAGGTCTTACTGCATGAAACATTAATTTTTGTTTTGTTTTAAAGGAGGAGAGGTTTATTTTGGTGCATGTCAACTTTATTTTTAAATGTCCATAATAAATACAAATTATACCTAAGAATTATAAATTTAGTTACATTTCAGCTAGGAATGATGGTTCATGCCTACAATCCCAGCACTCTGGGAGGCTGAGGCAGGAGTATCGCAAGTTTGAATCCTGTGTGCACAGCTATGGAACTCAGACCTTGTCTCAAAAAATAAGGGGGGGGGGCATGTCTGGGGCCTTGTACAAAGGACCTGGGTTAAATCCCCAGTATTAGCAGGGGAGGAGGGGGTAGGTAATGTTCCAATATTTCTCCAGATTAGGGTCTCTAAACTTCGTAAGAATATTTTAAAAGCCTCAAAATGTTTATTCAAAATAATTCATTTCAATTTAAGTCAAAATGTTTAGTTTATTATTACAAATAAAATTATTTAAAATAACAAGACTTTAAAAGTAAAACAGTAACATATTACTTGAATGAATACATTAAAAGAAATAATCAAACTTTTTTCAAATAAGAAATCCAATTTCCATATGAAATTTACTCAATTATTAGTACAAATATACCACATAATGAAAGGTTTGCCAAATTTTAAACCAAGAAACTTCTTACTTACTTCTCAATTGGAAGGACATGAGGTCCAGAGATAGAATAACGATACAGAAAAGTCAGAAACTTCCTGAATGCATCAAAAAAAGGCCAGTGAGAAAGAAGACAGATGCATTTGTTAGTGTGAATTGTTTTGGAACTATCAGACTTCCAATCTGCCAAAGATAAGCCTAAAAGAAGTCTCTGTTTTTCTGTGAGATTCTCCTCAAGATATGGTTCATAAAACTGAATAGCAGCACCATAGACCTGTAAAATAAGTAATATAGTTAATAAATATACTTTGTATCATTTACTCAAATCACAATCAGTTAACTATTTAATGGATGTTTACTATGGGCCAGGCAAGGTTCCAAGGTCTAGAAACACAGTGATGAACAGATATCACCCTTGCTTTTTTGATGCATTTAAGAACTATACAGTAGTATTTATCCACACTGCTGAATAAAAGGTGTTTTAATTAAATTTCTTTTTGTGTGTGTATATGGTCCTGGGGATCATAGCCAGGGCCTCACATATGGTAGACAAGCACCCTACCACTGAGTTATATCCTCACCCATTAAAGTGGATTTTTTTTAAAAAAGAGTAAAACCAACTGTACCAATGTTCTCTGTAAGAAAATGGTTGAAAATTATTTAGTAGAAAGAGGGACAGAATTTTAGATAAGGCAATACAAATTCCAATCTTTGGGCAAGTTACTGAATTTCACTGGACTTCAATGTATAAAATGAGGATGAAAAAAAAATTTTTTTAAATAAAATGAGGATGTCCAAGGTCCCTTCTAAGAAGGCTATGAGTTCAATCTGTAGCACCACTACCAAAAAAAGTCTATGATTCTAAATCATGTTATATTTAATAATATCTTTTGTATTAATTTCAAAGCTTCTTTTTAATCACAGTAAATAAACTAGTGAATTATCATTTGATGATGAAAATAATCTTTCATGGTATTCACAAAAAAAGTATTTAGGAGGATGGGTCAGAATGAAAATTCTCTCCTCCTATCTCTCTAGATATAGCTATTTAAACCAAATGGAAGTATGTATAAAGGATTCAATTTAACCAGTTATTTTTTTCTACTGTTTCTTGTATTACACATAAGTTAAAATATACTTAAAATATACAAGAAGTATGCAGATACAATTTGTTGAAATACATAGTACCTTTTCTGCTGAGGCTCCAGTTAACACAAATGTAGAAAATACAGGCAGCGGGTATTTGCTATTTGATGGCCAACATTCAATAGTTGCACCCATTGGTAAACAAAATAAGGGAACAGATTCTGGTAGTGAGAACGATTCATAATCTTCTTGAGGGTATCTACAAATTAGACCTATAAAACAATGATATTAGGTTGATCACCTCTCGAATTTAGCTGATCATAATAAAAAATAAAATGCTTTACTATTTCACAAATTTGGAAAGGAAAAACACTGTAAATGTGCTCATCAAAGAACTCTGAATTCTTATGTCAGCACATTTATTCTTAAAAGTGAACTTTCAAATATGTACTCGAGACCTACTTTAAGAATGAGTTACAGATGAACACAGTAGATTTATCCTTTAGGAGACCTCCTTTGGTTGTATGTTTTCTGCAGAATTCTACACAGAAATAATTGACATCAATTTTCAATTATCCTGTATGAGTTTGTAGTACATGAGAAATGTTCCAAAGATTTTGGTTCTATGACTTATAATTGAGAACCTTGCACACTTACAGGGCTTTGATCTAACCTGCTTTATTACTTGTGTACATCCTATATACAGATGGCTCATCACAATTCTGTGTTCATTTGCAATATGAATAAAACCAAAATGACTAGATGTGTTCCCACACAATATACATCGACATGGGTTTCTCGACAATGCAATGTTTGTATAAAAAATCATGCATAAATGAAGACTTCTCACATTCTTTATATTTAGCCTGTGAATCTAGAACTTTGAATTCTTTCGTGGAATTCATATACATTTTAATCTTCAAACATTATAACGATTAGTATTAATTTAACCACTTAATATTTATCAAGTTTCACCTAAAAGCTAGGTTAATGCTAACAAGACAAAGCATTTTCTAAAAACATACACACAGGGCCAGGGATTTAGCTCAGTGGTTTTGCTGCCTACTGCGCAAGCACAAGGACCAAAGTTCGATCCCCGGTTCCAAAAAAAACCCCAAAAACATACCACATTCCCCTAAAAATTCAGTTTATGGTCACACTAGCCTCGCAAGTGCAAGGTCCCAAACTTGATCCCTGGTACCAAAAAATATATATATACTTAAAAAAAATTTCAATATGGTTATTTGTATATATCTACCTTCACCGGCTCTCAGTAACTTTTCCCTCAAGGGGCTTTATACAGTAAAATACATACTGTATATATGTAAGTTCTAGAGTAAAAACCAGAAAATCATTCATAAAGCTAGCAGAGTCACATATTTAAAATGCCATCACAACAGTATCAACACAAACTCAGCTTCTAAATAACCCCAGATTATATGAAGATAGAGATTTAAGGGACCTATTATTTCATGTTAGGTAAATGAGTCTTGAAAATACTCCAGCTAGGCATGGTGGTGGAAGCCTGAAATCCCAGCACTGGGGAGCTGAGGCAGGAAGATTGCTGAGCTACACAGTGAGTTCAAGCCCAGCCTGAACTACATAAGAAAAGAAAAGAAAAGAAAAAGAGAAATTGATCCAGATATCTTCTATTAAACACATCCTAGAAGCAGAGCCTTAAACTGAATTCTGTGGGACTAGAAACAAAAAATAGGTTCTCTGACTTTGAAGGCCTTAAGGGTAAGTGGAAACCATTACCAGACCAAACCACAAAAACTAAACAATAAATTGGGACTAAGAATAGTTCTGGGCCGCGGATTTAGCTCAGTGGCACCACTCCTGCCTTGCAGGCCTAATGTCCTGAGTTTGATTCCCGGTTCTAAAAACAAAACAAAACAAAAACAATAAGAAAAGGGCTGGGGATTTAGCTCAGTGGTTCCAGCACCTGCCACGCAAGCACAAGATCCCGAGTTCAATCCCCGGTACCAAAAAAAAACCAAAAAACAAAACAAAGCAAAACAATAACAACAAAAAACCCAACAAGAATAAAAAAGAATAGTTCTACTACTACTATCTCTCTGATTTTGAAAAAGTTAAGTCTCTGGTTTTCTCATCTGAGATCAACTAGATAAATGAAGGTCCAAGGGAAGTTTTATTTTAGGGTATGTGTGAGACACTGAGCATTAAACCCAGGAGTGTTGTACCAATGAGGTACATTTCCAGTACTTTTTGTTTTTTATTTTGAGATAGGTATCACTAAATTGCAGTTTGGCCTCAAATTTGTAATCCTCCTGCCTCAGCCTCTTAGATATACAGGAATATAGGTGTGCATCACCATGCTTAGCTCAAGGCAGTATTAAAATTCTCTAATTATACCTGAGCCAGTCAGTGGTCCCCATGAAGATCTAGTTAACTGTGCACTCCTCTCAGGTCATGAGGTAACAAGTAAAGTTGTAAAGTAAGTACACAAATAGTGGTGAATTATGAGTACTAGAAAACTAAAGGAAGAAGAGAAAGTTAAGAGTCTAGGACATTAATTTGGGGGGGGGGGTACCGGGAATGGAACTCAGGACCTTGCGCTTTCGAGGCAGGCAGCAGAACCACTGAGCTATCCCTGGCCCCAAATTTTTTTAAAAAAACATTTTTTAAAAGACTGAATTGGCTGTCTTAGAAGTAAAATCAATGTTTGATATTTTGAGGTTATCGAGAAATTGAATATTTTGATTATGCATCATAAAACTGCAAATGAGTTTAAAACATTTTTCAACATTATAGAAAATAATTATATATGAACTATAAATTTGACTAAATTGAACGTTAATATTAAAGAAACATTAATTAACAGAAAAAATATCTTTATTTCTTTTTTTTTTTTTTGGTCCTGGGGATCGAACTTAGGTACTTGTGTTTACCAGGCAGGGGCTGTGCTGCTGGGCTAAATCCCCAGCCCAGTATCTTTTTTTCTATGCTTTCTGCTGATTCAAAAAGTTAAAGAGAAATGGCATCTACTTATCAGTTATTTAAAACTAAGGCTGGCCTGAGGTATATAGCAATAGCTTGTCTCAAAAAAGCAAATAATAAATAAATAAGTAAATAAATAAAACAAAATAAAGGCTTTTTAAAAACCTACCCTTTTTTTTTCAAATTAATCATCCATGCAGGATCCAAAAATATATGGATGAAGACAAAATTGATAATCAGAGGAGCTGGGTTGGATGATACTAATATATTATAGTCAGGTTTGTTTCTTTAACTTTACTGAATCCTTTTTTTTTTGGTACCAGGGATCAAATTCGGGACCTTGCGCTTGTGAGGCAGGCACTGGAACCACTGAGCTAAATCCCTGGCCTCATAATATTTTTATATATAAAGTATTCCTTGAGAACTGATACTTACCAGCTTTGTAAGATACAGTGTTGGTCTTTGCCACTGATTTTTTATAACATAAGTATACTGCAGATCCCCACTGAATTAAAAGAGAAATAACGTTTAATTTTAAAAGGCAATAACTTGATAAAAATAGAATCTCTAAGCTCTCCAGTATATATTACCTATGATGTAGCAGCAGAATTTTCTCCGCTAGCTATTTTCAATTTTTTATTTTGTAGTATTTTATTGGATTCATTGTCCACTTTTCTTATAAAAGTATAATTTAACATTGTTTTCTCCTTACAACAGCAACAATGTAAGAAAAAGCTGATTTTTAAAAACAAAACTAGACACAATTTTTATTTTAGGTCTGAACCTTGAACAGAAATGAATATATACCTACCTATTCATGTAATATTTTCCTTTTGACTCTCAAACCCCTTCCAGTGAGTGTCATATTTTTCTGAAGCCTTAAGCCAAACTCAAGAAATATAATACCCATTTTCATATTTTCCATCCTTTCCAAACCAGGTTTAAAGATGCCTTCACAGCCAGCCATGGTGATGCACACCTGTAATCCCAGCACTCTGTGAGACTGATACAGGAGGATCACAAGCCCCACCTGGGCAACTCAGTGACTTACGAAGACCCTGTCTCAAAATAATGGGCTGGGGATGTCGGTAAGTGTGAAGGCTCTGGGTTCAATCCCCAGTACTGGGGGGAAATGCCTTAACAATATCTGTGATGATCTCAAGTCTGATGGTTGATTCCTAGCCTTCATTTTATTCAACTTCTCATCAGATTTTGGTACCACTGATGACTCCCTCTTGATCATTTCCTTGATTATGAGGTACCTTGTTCTCCTGGTTCTTCCCTATCAAATCTCTGGCCACTCCTCTGTCTCCTTTGTAGAACTTTTTCTCTTTTCCAGGTCATTAAAATGACTCTTCTCTCTACTTTCTCTAAATGATACACATCCAGTTGCGTGGTTTTAAATAATAGCCACTCACTGAGGAATCTCAAATTTCTAGTCCCAGCTACAAAACCCCATCACCATTGCCACCAAGCCTAGACTCATATCTAACTGCCTACTCTGCCACCTGGACGTCTATGTTTAACCTCATATTTTCGATGACCATAATACAAGTCTGGTCCTCCTCACACTTGCTCTTCCTCTCAGTATTTCCCACCTTAGGAAATGGCCTGATCATTTACTCAGTCTCAAAATTCAGGAGCCAATTTAGTTTTATTTTTGTCTCATACATCATCTCCTATCCTACAGATCCTATTAACTCTACATTCAAAATCCACCTTGAATCTGATCACTTTCTTGATCAAAGAATCACCATTTTTCACTCGGACTACTGCTCAGAGTTTACTTCTTTGGTTTTTTCCGGTACTGGGGATCGAACTCAGGACCTTGAGCTTTCAAGGCAGACACCGTGACACTGAGCTAAATCCCCAGTCCTTTACTCGGACTACTGCTATAGCCTCCAAACCAATTTCTCAGCTTCTAGTCTTGTCCCTCAATATTTTACAGCCAGAGGGAGCCTATTAAGATGTAAATCAGATCATGTCCCTATCAAAGGGCTTCCTATCAGATAGGAACAAAACTGCATCTCCCTTACAGTAGACCGTAGAGTCCTATATAATCGGATCTCTGCTGTTTGATCAAATCTTGCAACCTCACCACCTGTCTTGGTGCAAACATACTGAAACACACACTGACACACACACTGACACTGTGACCTTTACATTGTTTCCTGTGCCCATTCTCTAATTTATTTAGGTCTTCGATCAAATGTCTCTTCCTCAGAGAAGCATTCCTAGCCTAAAAAGCACCAGGATGGCTCCATCCTCTGTATTCTTCTAACCAGGAGCATAACTCTGTTATTACAAGGTATGTTTGTTTGGCTCACAGATAGTAGGGGTTTATAGTAAATCTTACTAAATATGTAAATAAAAGTGTCTGAAATACGAGTAAAATAATTAGCTTTATGAAATAAATACTCTTCATATACGCCATGCAAATAAAAAAGGGCAAGGTCACTGATAGTTAAAAGCAGTATATAATAATGTTATTATCATAATTTAATGATAATTCTATAACTCCACTACTCTAGATTGCAACGATCTCCCAAATGATCTTCCTCCTTCTATCTTTGCTTCCCTCTATAATTTATTACTCATGAAGTGCCTTTTAAGACAAAATATCTGTTGTTTTAAAAATATTTCTATATGTTAATTTGCTCCATTTATACTACTAGTTTATCTTAGTTCACTGAAAAGAAAGTTTTGTGTTACGACCTGTTTCTTTGTTGTAAGAGTATTTTTGCTCTATGTCTTGTACTCTGAGTAACTACTTTGAAGACAATGATACACGTGTATTAACTTGTTATTCTCTTATTATTTTGTTAGGAAATTTTATTTTTTCACAAAATAAAAATTGCAATTAATTTTAAAAAACCAAAATGCCACAGCATGTCATTGTTCTGTTCAAAACTTCAAATTCATTCAGAATAAAAGCCGAAATCTTTACAATCACCTAAAATTCTTACATAATCAGTCTCTTCACGTGCCAGGAATACCTATTCCATGAGGCCTTTTGCAAAGAGTTTTCCTTCTATTTAAAGCATTCTTTGCCCATGATATCTGAATAGTTTACTCCCTGACTTCAAATATTGCCTTCAATTAAGGGCCCACTACAATCCATTCTCCAGTACCCCCACCATTCCATTATACACTACTCTAGCTTTTCTTATGACAGCATTTATCACTTTCAAACCTACTTTAAAACTTATGATCTATAATTACCTCCCCCGACCCCGAAAAGCTCTACATTCTATATTATCATTAGTACCTAAAACAGTGCCTGGCACTAGGGCCTTATAAAAGAATTTGCTGTGCTGGGTGTGGTAGTGCATGCTTGTAATCCTAGCACTCAGAGGCTGAGGCAGGAGGATCACCCATGAGTTCAAGGCCAGTCTGAGCCACATAGTGAGTTCAAAGCCAGCCTGAACTCCAAAGTGAGACTCTGTCTCAAAAAAGAAAAAACCAAACAAACAAAAAAAGAATTTGCTGAATGAATGACTCTTGGGGCAGAGGTTTACAGACAGGGGGAAAGGCAAATAGAAAGGCCCTGGTAATAGGGGCATGCTTGTCTTCTAAAAGCTAAAGTGGCAATGTGAGCAGAGAAGAGTAACAGTGATGGAGAGGTGGAGGTCAGTTAGATGGCTACTAAAAAAGGTAGCTTAAAAATGATGGTGGCTTGGATGAGGTGTTAGCAGTGAGGAATGATGAAAAGAGGTTAGAATCTGGATATTCTGAATATAGAGACAATAATAATACCCTATTTCATTAGATAAGAACTATGGGAATCAAAGAAGACACCAAACTTGTCTTTAAATATCTACTTTTATTTTTAGTTGACACATCATAATGATACCTGTTTATGGGGTATAGAGCTATACTTTAATACATCTATAAAATCTGTAATGATCAGTTTCAGATATGATATGTATCATTTCTTTGTGTTAGGAACATGCCAAATCTTCTACACTAGCTATTTTGAAATATATAATTAATTGTTGTGAACATAGTTATTCTTGTGTACTACAGTTATTCCTCCTACTCAAATGTACCCTTGTACCCAATAATACCAAGGTGTTAAGAGGGGAGTAATGGGAAGAATGAAGTTCAACGTAGGGAAGACTAAATAAAATAGACTGTGGGGTGACAGAATTCAGGGGTTTTGGGGGCCAGTACTAAGCCTTCACACTGAGCTACATCCCAGCCTATCATCATCATCATAATCATCATCATTTGGAGGATCTCAATAAATTACCCAGGCTTGAGGAGTTCAATCTTAGATACATTACATTTGAAACTTCTATAAGAAGTCCAAATGAAGAATGAAGTGGAGCTAAGAAGAGAAATCTGAAATGGATATACAAGTTTGGGAGATGTTACCACATGAGATGCAGGTAGTTACAGATACACTAACACAGCACGCTTCCTCACCTCCTTTAAGTCTCAATTCAAATCATTCTTTATCAGAAAGCCCTTCCTTCAGCATGCTTGTATACAATAATAAACATCCTTCCACTCTGCACAGTCCTCCTTGCCTACTATGTAGAAGGTGTTTAATAAATATATTTAATGAACACAAGAGGATATGTTTTTGTATACATGATAGAGTATCTACATAAACAAGTACACGAAGGGGAGATTTAGAGCACTGAGAACAAATACAGAGAAAATAAATTACATTAATAATTTTAAATATTAAGAGAATAGTATAAGAAACATCATGTACTTCCATGGAGATTTAATAAATGTTAACAGTCTGTCATATTTGCTTCAGATATTTAATGTATAAAGAAATTAAAAATTACAAGTTTAGTTAAAAGTCCTATCTTTTATTCCCTTTCCTCCTCTTAACAACTTAGCCTGAAGCTAGTGTACTTCCTTCTCATGCACTTTTAAAATTTCTATTACACAAATACACACATACTGTATGTGTATATTTATAATTATTGTGTGCTTAACTCTACATAATGATGATATAACTGAATATATCCTTTTGAAGTTTCCTATTTTTACTCATCAATATGTTTTTTGAGAGTTTGCAAAGTTGGTATCATAATGCAATTTCTTCATCTTACCTGGATACTCAAGTACTCTACTGATAAATAAACCAGTATATCCATTCTCCCACTGAGGACACTTAGGTTGTTCCACCATACCTTCCCTTTTTTGGCTATTATGAATAAAGCTGCAATAACTCAGCTCCTTGTGAAGAACTTTTCCTTGCTTTGTTACACACAGTAAAACATTTTAGCAAAGATTAGCTCATTAAAATCATCATATGGATATAAATTATGATATGACCTTAGAAACTATTAAGATTTATGGAAACATTTAATCCTATCTGACACTGCTATAAAGTTTAAAAAATTCCTAATATCTGCTTTTTAATTTTTCTATTCTGCATCAGGTTATACTCATTACTTTTTGTTATTGTTGGTGTAGTACCCATTTCTTTCCCTTTTTTTTGGTACCGGGGATTGAACTCGGGACCTTGCGCTTGCGAGGCAG